AAGTTACCGCTTTTTCAAAATATAATATGTTATTGATTTTTATGTTGCAACATTTGTGGAAATAAAAAATCAGTAGCGCTACTGAGACACTGGGAACATAGACGAATTAGTGCTATTAAACGAAGTGGAAAACTTTTTATCAGTGCTTGTTAATCTTGAAACCAAATTGTCACCTGTGTTCCATAGCAGTCAGAACTTACGCTACTGAGACACTGGGAACATAGACGAATTAGTGCTATTAAACGAAGTGGAAAACTTTTTATCAGTGCTTGTTAATCTTGAAACCAAATTGTCACCTGTGTTCCATAGCAGTCAGAACTTACAAGTTTGACAGTTTACATTGCTAAAAATGTGTTTGGGTACCCGTTGTAGACATAGCACATATAGCTCGCTGTGTAGAGCCTGTTGTTTTATTTTTGACAAGTGTACTTATATTTTCTGTTTCAATACTGGTTGAGGCTTATCCTATAACAATACAGTGTAATATAGATATGATGGGGACACCGAAAAGTTTTCGCCACTATTACTGGAGTTTCATTTATTCTTCTTCCTGTTATTCAATGTTTTCATCCTGTTTCGATAATAATACTGATCATATCATTACTATAATTATGAGAATTTAGACAATTTTTGAAAAGAGTAGAAAGCTTTCATTGCGGGTAACAGTAATAAATCTTTGGAATGATTACAAATATACCTCAAAATATTATCGGCTGAAGTCCCTAATATAGCATTGTACTACTGTTTATGATTGAACATTAGGCCTAGATGTGTAACACTTTTACGTTCAATTTTCGGAATATCGGGCTGTAACCAATACGACAATAACTTAGATAAATATGATAATTTAGATATAAACATTAAAATAACTTAGAAACCTCAGATGAGACTTGTCTAAAACATTTTAAAGGCTTATACAAAGCAGCTTTTGAAAGGTACATCACATGTTCGTATTTAAGTTTTGTACGCTGTGCCTAACTGTATACTAACCACCATAAAAAACAAACTGGATTTTCCTTCAAGTACAGATTTGCCCTGTGTTTTCAACTTAATAAGTGTTCGTTTATACACTGTAAGAAATATTAAAAACTATTAATCATAAGTTATTATTCTCTCCAGCTCTTTTAAAACATTTTTTTTGTCCGAATGCTCATCACTTGACAAAAAGTTTTTACCTACATTCTGCTACTAGAATTTTTTTATTCAATTTAATACTTTTTTATTTGAACATTAAATTACGATATTTGTCTACATGTATTAATTGCAAAAATATTTATTAAATATGTATCCTCTATGAAAATAAAATATCATCAAGCATTGACCCTATATATATAGCAATATGAGAAAAGGGCTTATATACAGTCGGAATGTTAAAATACATACATATATTACCGCAGACCAGAATCTAAACAAGTATTGTTAAAATTACCTGTTGCTATCTCTCGAGTGTCACGTTCATAATAGAATCTGCCAGTACAAATGTAAGTACGCGTTATTCGGTTTCATTGTCTGAAAGATTACAACTTTCGAGATATAAACACTGTTATAGCTACTGGTTTCCAAGGTCAAAGGTTATGATGCGTAAAGAATTTTTGGTGTTATTTATATCTACAAGTTTCTCAACCATCGCTAGTCTGATCACATAGTTTACATGAAATGCTTTCTTCAGATTAAGTCCTAACAAGCTTTGGAACTGTTGTTGCGTTGTCATTTTATAGCAGCCACATCAGAACTAAGAAACCCATATCAACGTTTGTTCAAACGTAGGCTAAGCGTTCCATAGTGTCTAGCTGTTTCTCTGTCCGAGCAATAATTACGAAAAATAAAAGAATAAATAAATGAAAAAGGTTTGTAAAATGTATAAATAAATTGTCCCTGTATTTGTTTCAAAATATTCGTACAAAGCTACACAAACGGCTATCTTCGCATAACCATCCGTAATTTTGAATTCCTAAAACTCGATGGAAGGCAGCTAGTCAAAAGTTTTACCGCCAAATCTTGATTTACTCATCTGACAGAATAGTGGGACTTGACTGTCACTCTTCTGGTGCACCCACGGCCCCAAAATGCGGAGCATGATTTTGCAGCAATATCAACCGTGAACCGTCATATTCACATTCAAGTACGCTAACCACTAGGCTAGTGGCGTATCTACCAATGATACCCCCCCCGCATAAAAACTAATTGGGCCCCTACATTTACTTTCCTACGATTTTATTTACGATTCGAACCATTTTTTTTTATCCTTCCCCCCCCCCTCTGCAATTTCAGGGACATATTTACTCCACTGCACTAGGTTATGCCCGGTCCATATAGATATAATTTTGTGTGTTCTATAAAATAAGGCATCTTTACTCAATCTGTCCAACAAGACAACGTTCGAGACTATATTATGAGTATTACCGTGCAAATCCCACAGATAATCGTAATAGCCTATTTAAAACGTTACGATCAACGATTATTCTATATATTATAGATATAATTTTGCGTGTTCTATAAAATAAGATATCTTTACTCAGTCTGTCCAACAAGACAACGTTCGAGACTATATTATGAGTATTACCGTGCAAATCCCACAGATAATCGTAATAGCCTATTTAAAACGTTACGATCAACGATTATTCTATATATATTATTACACGGGTACGACGCCAACGCCTCTAAATGTTTCTCAAACTAATTGCGATTACATCAATTTTTATTTTGATATACTTACAGCAAAATAGAAGATTATATACATACAACGATAAATGCTAGTGTAGTAGTCTGACACAAAAACGTACTTCGGTATTATATGTTAAAAGATAGTTTTAGGGGAGTGACCCCAAGAAGGGGTAGTGAAAATGTCTGCAGGCTAATTAACACAAATAAAAAATAATAAAGTGCCCATACACGTACGCAAAGCTAACGTTCTGTACAGGCCTGACTATAACCAAGCAGACGACTGGTGAAGTTTCGGGTTGCTTATACCAAGCTCCACGCAAGCGCGAGAGTCGAGTTAACCCAGTGCCTTGTGTAATTAGTTTCCGTTTTGAAGAGCACCAGATGCAGCGTTTCTTCCCCACCCACATGCAGTGAAACGACGGCTTCCAGTACTTATACCGAAACTTAAACAGAACCACGCTTCCCAGTCTTCGCAAGAATTATTTCATACAACTAGTTGACTGCACATACACTAGTCCAGTGCTTCTTTACCCTCGTGCACTCGACAGAACAGCAAAATCTTTGAAAAAGAGCTTACGAGTCGTTAGGAGTGTATGAGCTTATACTGTTGTTTCCTAATTTAACTTATTGGCTCACAATGAACTATGAAGGAAACACAATTCTCACCTCTTTCTAACACGTGTTTCCCGGTGGGTCAGCTGTAACTACAAGAAGGTACAGCGTTAAAATTAGAGGTTTGATTCTCCGCGGTGAACAGAACGCAAATAGCCCATTGACAAATTATAAATTTCATGAAATTCGAAAATTTTAAGAGACGTTCTCTTTCTTTCTGTTTTCCCCCTCTGGGTTGTTTTTTTTTTTCGAGGGACGATCACAAGTTTATTTTCACAATTAATACTTAGACAGCATTGGCTCACTACTTTACATTTATAAAATTCTTTTTTCACTTGAAACTATTGATTTGTTTGTGGAAGTTATCTGTTTTTTGTTTGTTTTAGTGCACATCTACAGAATGGGCTATCTTTGCTGTGTCCACCGCAAGAATCGAACCTTGGATGTTAGCGTTATAAGCCATGAAGCCTACTACTGAGACACCGGAGGACAATTATCCAGTTATTTATCGTAAAATTTTTACTCCTTTTCTATCTTATCTCTCAGTCCATGAATTGGTGAACAGTTTCGGCAGTATGGAGCCTCGAATTACAAAATAACGAGATTTTCGTGAAATAATATGTAATAAAAGTCATTTACCCCAAGTAATTCAATCAGCAGGAATTTTTACATAAATATACGACATGCACGACAGGAGGAAAATACTATTAAAAAAGGCATAAAACTGATTATTTTTCAATGTTCTGTAAATATACAAGAAAGCATAGTAAATTATAAACTGTTATATATGCTACTTATGTATTACAAAATATACCACGCCCAAATATTTTAAATACATATTTCAGTGTTTTTCTAGATTCATTAATTATTGTTAAAAATAATGAATAACGTGTATTATAATTCTATTAATTCACACCAGTATCCGAATTTTTACAGGAATTATCCAAACACACCGACAAGTATTTCCGTTTCTTTAACGCAATAATCTCTAATCCAAAAGTGGGAGAACGGGGCTCACCGAATAAAGGTTTTTATTTAAAACATTCATTATACAGATGGTATAAATCAGGTGTTTCAGTTCAGCTAGAACTGGAAATAGTAACCAGATTAAACATGATTGCTCAAAGCAAACTATTCCCTGCGTTATCACAAACTGTCCTGTTGTTAAATTCAATGTTATGTCCAACAAGAATCAAAGAAACTTGCTTATTTTAGATTAAACTGTGTCACAGAAGATTACCAAATAATAATTTCAAGATTTCAATTAAAAGTCCTGTAACAAATCAGAAAAAAAATTTCGTTGTAAGAAAACATTTTAGTATGTATATATAAACAGTTATGTTCTCGCTATGTTCAGTGTGATAATTATATTTTTGACCCTATTTGGGATAAATTACTTCATATTAGCTTTCAATTTTCCTGTGATTTTAGTAAAGTTGCTTAGACTTTATCTTGCAATGAACAGAAATATTTTTGGAGGAAACTAAATATATATATTTTTATGAATACATAAATATCATATAATGAAACCAAGCATTAGTCTCTTCCTAACCAGTAAATACACATTTTTATGTTTATGTAATAAAAAAATACGAAAATTTGCAATAAATTCTTATCTTTTTTTTTCATTTGAATTTGTGCTGAGAAATAAAAGAGATAACTTATGAAAAGTATTTTATTAATTATTTTAAAGTTCCTTGAATAGATTATTATTTATATAATAGATGGTGCTTCAGGACATGATTGCCTGTTTCCGAAAGTATAAAAATCAGATCATTTTAGAAGGTGCCATTACGGTAGGTGCAGTTTTAACTACATTTATACTAATTTGTATTATGTACTGAACACATTTGTGTTTATGTTTTTAGTTTTTAAATAAACATAGTTGAATTTTATAGAAATGTTTAATTTCCTTAATGAACTAACTTATCGGAAACTGTAAAAAGAAAATGTAAAGGCAATGAAAGAGTGAACAAATTCTGTGATTTATTATATATATGTGTGCATGTGTATGTATATAACAAAACAAATATAGTTTTACGTAGATTGCAAAAACGGCGTAATGATACATGCTTTTCCAAAGTGTAGTATATTGAATTATGTTGGATAATAGTAAAATGTTTGATGTGAATGTATACAGACTTGTATACTGACTTAACAGAAGAGTAACACATAGGAAAAAAAATCCAAATGATGCTAAAGATTTAAGGGACGTGTTCCTTTCTAAGTTATTAGTTCCTTAATCTCCAGGGAATTATATCTTTAAATACGCACTTCTAACCACCAATCTTTTGAACGAAACCAAAAATTCAAACATAACAATACGATCAGTGTAAGGATGAAATATAAGAAAGAATTTTAACTACCTTTTGACAGTTACGCGTTAAATGAAATTCAAATAAAATGTAATGGGAGGATTATTAAACGCTATTTGACGCTATAACGTATATAAATTTACATAATCAGGCGGGGAATGCATTCACTATTAACAATTATATGTTAAACATTATCTGTGATAAGAAAAGAGCCTGTCTCTGTGTGTGTGTGTGACCGTCATAGTTCCAAAAGGGAACAACCTAGAGACCTGGAACTTTTCACACATATTAAGGGGATTCTGAGGGTGTGCAACTAGGTATTATTTTTTAAGTTTGACTCAAAAAATGTTGGCCAATTTTTTGCCCTTAAGTCCCATAATTTTTTTTCTCTAATTCACACTTACTGAATGCATGCTAAATACTGTTGAAAAAAATGGTCAAAAAAAATCTGACAAAATTGGGAAAAATGTACATATCTTACAAAATTTGAATATGTAAATTTGCATTCTCTCTTTTTAAATTCATGAAATGGTATCAGCAATAGAGGCGGCTAGGCCAAAAAACTAGTAAATAAAGTTGGAATTATTTTCCATCTGCATCAGTGGAAAAGAGAAAATAAGAACAAAAAATAGAATGTAAAAGTTAAAATTAATATTATTGCTTTCGAAACTTTGAATTAAATAACGTTTGAGAAAATGCAAACAAAATAGTGGGAAAATATTGATGATTCTGCAAAAAAAGTTCAGACATAAATAAAAAAGTGTAAAAGTCAAAATAACATTTGATTTAAAAAATAGTGCTATGATAACTTATAAGTTTGGGAAATGGCTTCAAACAAAACAGTTAAAGAATACTGGCGCATGAAAAAGATTCAACCACAAACATGGGATGGAAATATGAATCAGAAAATGTTGGAGTATTCGGAGAATGAAAAGAATTCAAATAAAAATACAAGAAGAAAAAATTAATCTGAGAAGCTAAATTAAAACTATTTGCTTTTAAAAAGAGTTGAATTGAATTAAGTTCGGGAAATGGCAACAAACAAATCAATTGAGGAATTGGCGCATTGGGGTAGCTATAGAAGTAATTAAGATAATGATGACCCTTGACTGGTACATTGAGGTCTCTGTGAATCATGAGGGGACCTGAGAATCTCGCAGCGAAGCGTGAGTATTGAAGGCTAGTACACAATATTAATATTCTTTGAGTAAGTTTCTTATACTTCTCAATGTGTTTTTTGTTCGAAAAATTTCTGTCAGTGGTTAAATGAATAAATGCAACTAAAAATGAGTTGACTCAATGAAATGTAATCTGCATGGAAAATTAAGGACATATTTCAAAAGCTCACGTCAGTTGCAACGCCACAACGCCAAAGTGTCTTACAGTTACTGTTTATTACGTACTGCAGTATGTTGTGGGAATAGGTTTGCCAATGAAATTCTAATACAACGTGTGAAAATGAAGGAAATTCAAGTTAAAACATAATATAGTAAATAAGATGTTAATGAATGAGATAAACGAATTATATGTCTTTATTACTAGTACTTATAGCTGTTATGCCAACCATTAGGCCTAGCCTATAGTGATTAAAGCTTAGGCCAAAGATGATTCAGCAAATAAAGTAGCCTGTGCTAAAAGTGGTTAAATTATACACTATTATCTAATTGTTTTTTTTTCTTAACGATACACTACTTAATCAATAAAATATATATATTTACTGTGGAGTTTTAAAACAGCTTAGTAACTTTAAAATAGGAGTTCAAAGTATTGATAAGGAATTTTTTTTTATCGAAAAGGAATGTATTCTAAAGGCCTAAGCAAATTTAGTAAAAATACAAAACAACTGCAAATGATGTTCAGCAAATTTATTTGTGACATTTGTCATTTTGAGTATGAGCTCTGTGAGAAAATGGAGTTACATTCCAAAGTTCAGACGAAGAAGAAGAAGAATCTATCCATATAAAGAGTAGTATCCTAATTTAGTTCTTATTTCATTGCTATCATGTTCCGATGTATTAGTTTTTAGTGTGCTGTTAGACAAACCGTCTAATCAGTCGAATGTTGACCCATCAAAGATTGTAATCCTTTTCAAACCCAGAGGCTCAATGATACCTAGTAATTTCGCACTGAACAGTCAGTAGTGCCGAGTCCTTGGTGATATCTACTACACCATGATGAAGTAAGAACTTTCTTCTCGTACTAAAAATTTCAAACTGAGACACTAACAGTAGAAAATTCCTGCTGAGCACATTACACGTGATGACATCTTATCAGGATCATCGAGACAGCACAAGCAGTCAGACAACAATGACAGTATATATCATACAACAGCAACAAAAATGTAGCCGGTTCTTTCACTATGAAAACCCCCAGATGGCGTGACAGGTTTATCTAGGTCTCGTGTTATGATAACTTTCATTATAGCAAGCCAGCGAGTAAAAAGTTGATTCTATTTTTACAACAAAACAAATATAACAAAAGCAATAAATTACTGTGTGTGTCTAGATTCAGTGAAACACAGATCACGGACTTCTAGCAAAGAATCTATCTCTAGAATGAAAAGTGATAGTTACATTTACTAAAAAAAGCAAGTAGTAACAAACATTAAACATGAAATTTTACAATATCGGTGAGATTTATTACATTGAATCTAATTAGTTGGTGATTATGACTAATGACAACTGATGCAAATCTATAGACTATAAACACTTGATAAATATCAGCCAGAGTAGGCATTGAATTCAAACAACAATAGTTTGACGTATTATACAATAACGTCAATAGTTATGTGTATATATTTTGTACTGTTCCTCTATAAGACAAGACATCTTATTTAATAATGTTGTAAGCCAAAAGCTCATGAAGCATTGGGGTCAACATGCCTAATATTACCCAGTGACAAATTCTGTATTAAACTGTAAACCTTTTTTTTCAATTCTTTAAAACAAATGCATTATTTCGACGAATACTATCAAAGCATTAGAATCCATTAAGCCTAAAAGTTGTGATGTAAATCATGTAAACTGCAAATATTTTTCCTTAATCAAAAGTATGTAAAAATAGCACTTCAGATCTATTATTTGTCTCCCACATGTTAAAGCCCCGCCCTAAAAAAAATACGCAGTTTACGTGATTTTTATCAAAACTTTTAGGCCAAAGATATTATCGTTACACTGCAGTTAGTGTGTTACAGTAATTTCATTTTATAATTACATCTCACGCCACGTCTTCAGTTTCGTATTCTATAACCCCGAAACTACCAAACCAAGTACAGTCTAAGGGCAGAAAACGCGTCGAAACATAACAAAAAATAAAAAGAGCAATACCTTAGGAGTACGGGTCCGTACTACAAAAAACGTACAGCAGCATTTGCTTTAAACACTCCGCCGAGGAGGCCTTTCACTCTATATCCGGTTTCCTGAAGCTGACTGATTTATAAAATTCAGAAGACTTTAATATTAGCTACTATGTTTACCACTTACACTGTTCAAAACTATGTACAAAAATGTTGAATGAAATAAGCATTATCTACGACCGGTCCGTTTACACTCATGAAATAAGCATAATCTACGACCGGTCTGTTTTACACTCATGAAATAAACATAATCTACGACCGGTCTGTTTACACTCATGAAATAAGCATAATCTATGACAGGTCTGTTTTACACTCATGAAATAAGCATAATCTACGACCGGTCTGTTTACACTCATGAAAGAAGCATAATCTATGACCGGTCTGTTTACTTTTTTTACACTCATGCCCGTCATATCAAAATATATGAAACAGGTGTAATATACATAAGTAAATTGGTTATGTTAATGTTGCTCAGTTCTATAGCATTTTCATTCCACAACAATAGAATGTATAAGACAGCATAATGCATTCATCACTTTTACATAAAGTTGTAGGATCAAATACTATGAACTGTTTTATTCTTCTTAGTGGCAATTCTGAGAGTAAAAAGAAACAAACAAAGAAAAGCATGTGGTCTAAACGTTTTTTTGTTTTGTTTTTTTTCGTTTTTTTACAATTACAAAGTATAAAGTTCTAAATAATTTATCACTGGAAATTCTGTTCTTTTTTCTATTTTACGGTTATGTTGCTTAATTTTGTTCCCTGTTTTTCAATAATTACATTTTATAAATATAGCTAGATTAAATGATTTACAATTGTTGTTGAAAACGCCTTTTTTGTGGGGATATTTATAATAAATGTGTTTGAATTTTAAACATATTTTCTTTTCTTTTTTCACACTTAAGAATAATTTAATGATTTGAATAAATGGTTTCTGCATAAGACCATATTATGAAAAATACAAGTATTTTCCTTCAGAGAATTCAGGTACAGGGATTTATAATTGTACGGTAAACAAATAAATGTTTAATCTATTTGTGGTAATTAGGCACAAGCACTTGAAGAATGATGTTTATCGGGCTAATTGTAAATTAATGATTACATGTTGCAATGGTTCACAGAGCTTATAGGTTTTATAAGCTAAACTGTTTACTTAGTAACTAAAGGCCATATAACACTATAAATACTTTAAGTAAGGAACGCGCTGAAAGAAAAAAAATATGTTGATTATCGTGTATCTGCTGTTTGGTAAGTAGTACATAAGACATCACAAATCAGAGTAATTCCCCAACGACATAACCTAACATCCAATGTCTGTGAAGGTGATAACGTACCAATTGTAGCCGTTATTTATGTAATTGACGATATGGCTGTGTGAGTCAAGATATACTCTTACATCCAGTGTTTGAACAGGTAATGAAATACCTCGGCACCCAGTGTCTGTGCAGGTAATGGCATACTGTAACAACTAATGTTTGTGTAAGTAATAGGATACTCTTTATACAATGTCTATATAGGGGTAACATACCAATACATCATGTCTGTGTGGATAATGAAGTACCAGTGTTTGTGTCATACCCTTAGATTCAGCATCTATATCGTTGGTGATATAAACTTACATCTAGTGTTTGCCTGCATAGTTAAGGGCATACCACTGTATACTCTTACAATGGTATACTCTTACAACCAGCATCTATGTAGGTTGCGACACAGCTTTACATTTAATGTTTCTAATGTAACTGCCAGTGCAAGTATTCACATACCCTACATTCAGTCTTTGTAAGTAATGTTATACACTTAATGCAGGGATTGTACAAATAATACAGAACAAGAAAGTTTATAATTCTGATAACTGCTATTTCATAAAATGAAGCTATGCACAGAGAAGTATATATATCAATATAACAATAATCCTCGAAAAATGAAGGTATAAAATAACAAACAAAAGAGCCATATTTCGTCTTGTTTCATTTCAGTTTCCTAAGCTGAAGGAGCGTTTCTGTAATCTTGAAACTACGTATAACCTCGGTTCTAGTCTATATACACGTTCTTATAATACTGCTGTAAGATCATTACAAAAAAGCTATAACAGAAATCTTTAATGTAAGTTTTAAAAAATACATTAAAAATAATAACGATATAAACTTACTTGGTGTCTTTTTAAAGATCTTGATCTCGCCAACTCAGACTGCTTCGTAAGCTCGTACACCAAAACATCTTCTTGCTGATTCCACAAAGTACAATTGTCTTCGGATATTTGCAAATCGGAAATGCTCTGTGACAAGTTGGGGTCTGAAGAAGATGTAGTAACTGGAGGTGGAGATAATAAATGAGAAACTTCACTGTCACTTTGCACAAAAGGGATGTTAGCACTGATTTTTCGCCTTGGGACATTGACTTCAGGAGGCGTCGATCTTTTAAGATCCGCATCATCCAGGGACTGGCTAATAGGGAAGCTGTTAGGTCGAGAACGAATCTCAGAAAGAGACCGAAAGTCATCATTATTTTTTTCTTCACTTATTTCTTGCAAGAAACTAAGATCTTCGGAAAAGTTTGGTTTTTGTTTCTCTCCCGATTTTCTCATTTCTTCTTCTAACATCTCACCATATGGTCCTCTAAGACGTTTCTTAGAATATCGTCTTTGTTGCTGAGGGCTCTTAGTCATGAGTCTTTCTTTGTCTAGTTCGAAGTCTAGTCCTGATAAACTTGGTTGGGGAGAAGGACATTGGGCAAAAAATCCAGGGCCTTGATTGGATTGATTGTGCATGATATTTGAAAGTGCAGTGTTTGAACCATCATTAACTGATTCTTTTATCTCTAACCTTAATCCACGTTGTTGTGGTTCTTCAGAATTGTCAAAATCATATAGTTTGGGTTCACTGTTACACGTGGTAATTATTTCAGGTAAATCAACATTCATGCCAGTATTTTCTCTACTAGGATCACTGTGATACTTTTTCTTTAAAGCTTTTACATTTCTATCTTCTACAGTTAATCGGTTTGATTCTCCTGTAACTCTTTCCAAAATGTCTCGATACGTTTCGTCCCGAACATTTTCGCCGTGGCTAAAATGACTGTCTGCCAGAGACAGGTCACTAGTTTGTCGCAGAGCATCTTCATTTATTGGCGAACTCAGACCTTGGGACATCTTTAAAGATTTTAAGCCATTGCTGTCAACAGAAGTATATTCCAGTTCGTCTTCTGACACGGAACTTCGTCGCTGAGGCGGATATGTCAAAAGCCTCCCATTACTCGATTTGGTTTCATGAAGACCTAATTTAAACCCAACTGTATGACCTCTGAAACCCTTTCTTCGTTTTCTAGCTTCACTAGGCAAAGAATGGGTTCCAAGCCCAACACCAACGTACGTATTGGGTCCATCACGAATGCATGATACAGATGATTTGGGATCACGAGATTTGGGGTTACTTGTAGTAACGGAACTGTACTCATGAGAATAGGATGGGCAATCAGAATCAGGGACTAGGCCTTCGTCTACTGCCGAGTCTACAACAGAATCCACTGACAAATCAGATTTACTTAATTCCAAACTTGGTGGTATAAGGATATTGTCTTGTACAGATTTACTTTTAGTAGTAGGATTTTTGTCTGATAGGCTGGAAAACTGTGTAATTCTTTTTCGTGGCAGTGTTGCTGATCCTCTAAAGAGAGAACTGAAACCTTGAGTTGAATCTTTGTTCGAAGACTCATTAGTCAACTTATAACTACCTTCTGGAGTTACATCCACGTGTGAAAAAGATGAACTTCTGTTTACTAGAGGTGACTTTATTCCTGAGGTTCCACTGGACTCGGAATCTTTAACCAACTTGAAAGTTGGGGACGCAGGTGCAGTAGATGGAGATTGGGGTTTCAGTTTCTCAGTCAGCTGTTTTAATTTTATATTCCCATTTTTGTGTTGGGAAATTGAAATTGACTGAGGAGACTCACTATGGCTCATCATATTAACTGGATTATGAGATGGATTATTGTGTTGGAGTTTCGGTGTCCCTTGAAGTTGGCTACTTTCAATTCTTCGTGATTTTAAGGTGTTGAAACGAAAATTTCTAATATCTTCACTGGTATTCCGAGTTACGTTTTTATCTGTAATTTGAGTTGTGTTATTCAATGTCTTGTACAAACTTTTCAAACTATCAGATTTTGGATTAAGATCATCAGCATTATATTGCTCAAGAGTTCTGCGTTGGGAATTATAAACATTATTACTGGAGGAGGCCAGTACAGAGGTGCTTCTTTGAAATATATTACTAAGGTCTTTTGTAGGTTTAACTTCTGTTAAACTTCCATGGAAACTCTTAGTTGTTCCATTATATTTATTAAGAAATAAATTATCACGGTGGGAGTCCTTATAATTGCTAACGTTCTCCGGACTTTCACTAGGCAGCAAGGATATTTTTGGTTCAGTTTGAAGGTCCTCTTCACCTCTACCACGTCTAAATTTAGAGAAATCTAGTCCAGCTAAAATGTTTCTTATTTGAGTGATGTCTTTTGTTCCAATATAAGCATCGTCAATGTCATTTTGTGAAAAACTACTCAAAAGCTCATGCCTGTTCCCCTCACTACCACGTCGTAAACCTCCTTTCCTACCAAGTGTTAGATATGCAGGCAAGTCAGGCTTAGATCTTACCTGAAAGTTAGCTCTAGGAGCAAGAGGAGTAGAAGGCAAAGACCTTGATGCCTGAGACGTGTTTAGTTCTGTTGAAGAAGGTGGGACTTTCGTAAGAGTAGTGATATAAAAATTTGGCACAAGATGAACTTTTGATGCTTTGTCCTTGACTTTGCTGCTTCGACTGAAGGTATGATACTTGCCAGTTTTTGCTCTACTATTCATCTTAGTCTCAAGAGGAAACATCAATGCATCTTTTCCTTGCTGGATAACAGTTTTACTTTTAACATTATCATTGTCACTTAATCTGTTATTGTAATCTGACCCGTCGGTTGTGGCGTTGCCGAATTTTGATCTAATAAATTCCGGTGTGAATGATAAGCCTAACTCCAAACATTCACAAAGAAAATCATGTGGCACCTGTGAACCTGTAATATTGTGGTCTGTCTGATGTTTTAAACAGCCTTTGAGGTTTGCGTTAGAGAAATCTTTGGGTAAACTGAGATTACAGTCAAAATCATTATCACAAATGATCTCAGTATTTGAATTACAGAAAAGAGAAGACTTGCATACTTTATCATGTTTACAAGAACAATTAAACGACTTTGTTGTCTCCTGTTGAAATGGAGTACCTGATGAAAAGGGTGAATCACTAAAGGATCGTTTTATATCACCAGATTTCTTTGCATGCAAATCAATGCACTGAAAATCCCCCTGATCTTTGGTATTTTCACAACTTATCTCAGCACTAGTGATGTCAAATTCGTTACAGATTTTTTCCAGAGATCTCAGTATATCATCTAAAGGTGATTGTTTTGCCTGAATAGAAACATCAGCGACCGACTTCTGTTCGCTAGAACTCGAGACCGAGTTAACTTCTCTTGAATGAGAAGGTAATTTATCAAGAGCAGATGACTGTCTAAAGATAGATCCTCTATTCCCAGACCCTGCTTCTTCACTAGACCTCTCGTTTGGTTCAGAATTAGAAACATATATAGTCTCGCGAGCAGAGTCCTTAAACTTTTTACAAACTTCCTCTACAGAGAAGGGACGTTCGAGAGTACTGTTCTCACGCGTTAGTGCTTTTACTTTTAATTCGCCATCTTCAACGCAAATCTTATTTTTTAGGTTAAGTTGATTTGATTCGTTTTTATTTTCATGGTCAGATACTCTTTGTTGATTATTGGTACATGCATTAATTTGCTTAGGTACTTCTTCAGAATCGTTAATATGTAGAGTAAAGCTTACCCGGTACGACGTTTGGCTGTCTTCGGAAATTACTCCTACATTGTCCCACACACTTTGATTTATTGCTTGCTGGTTACAAATCTCATTTCCTTTCACAAATTCATTATCATTGCGATAGCTACTAATCACAGAGGATGTTTGAGGCTTACTTTGCTCACAACTTTCACTCAATTCAAGATCTTTCTTTAGCTCTACACTGGGGCACAAAGTACAGTTCTGTTTTTCAGGACATCTTACGCTCTGTGGATCTGAGGAGCTCACAAAATAAGGCAAGACGTCTTGTGCTGAAGCATCTCTTTTCACAGTTTCCCGTCTCTGACTGAAAGGATTCACACAACCACACTCCTGTTGTTTCTGGTGACCTGCTATTTTAGGGTAGTTCGACCCACACACGCGGCAATGGGCCAAGTCATGTTCCAAACACAACTCCGCGTTAGCATCGTTTGTTGACATAACTACCTTGGAAACACCCGTTATATTACTCCTAGTATCAGCCTTGCTAGGTGGTACGTTTGTTAGGTAACTTTTATGTTCCAACTCTGTCGTCTCTTTGTGCCCATGGTTAGTTGTTTCACTTTTTATATTTTCTGACACTTCTATGCTCTTTTGTTGGAAGTTCACAGTTCCACAGACAACTTTCTCCTTCCATTTTACTTGTCCATCCTCTGCTGCTACCCGTGCATTTATCTCTCGAGCCCTCTCCTTAACCGAGACGGACGGCGGAACGACTTCTGGCTTCTCGGACATAGAGAATGTGCAGAATCATACTCCGATTTCACACAAAATGTTAGTAACATAAAAAACCCAATGAAGATAATGAACTTCTATTAGTTGTATTTCAATATTCAACCCATGTTTTTATCAAATATTTCAGATCTCACACATAATTTCGTTTCGTACATAACACGCATGAAACTCGTATAACTTATGAGCTTGTACGTCCCATGAAAATACTTTACTTTCAACTCACGAGAGCATAGTCGTTACTTTCGGAAATTTCTTTGAGCTGGTGTTGAACGGCGGTAGGTTGGTTAACTTAAGAGCTCAGTGCGTTGGAACACTTATACTGTACACATAGCTAAGTACTGCAGGAATTTTTGTCGAGACGCTATAAACTGTCCTTCAATCGAAGCTGTACTGTAAGCGACAGATAAAACTACGTGTTATTGGTAATACAGTCAGCAGTGACTCCCCTTATTTCACCAATCATTTTACTGGCCTTTCATCTAGCAATGCAAATAAAACGGAATATCACAGAAATCAACCCAAACACACAAACGCGGTAAGGTCACCAGAACCCTAACATACAACCGTCCCTAACGCCTCCTGTTTAAATGCAGAACGACGATAGTACGCGCGTTTGAGCTATCAACAAGTGTCTGCAACTAGACGGCGCCACTTTACCGTTTTATGTTGTTTTTTGTTTGTTTTTTTACAACGGTCAGCATACTCTTGAACTTAAAGTTAAAAGTTATAGCGAATAAGTTGCAAACTATTTTTGAATCTCAGAAACTTAATGACTGATAAGTCGCTTCAGTAAAGTTAAAAATTAAAATAGTTATAAAATAAAAAAATCGTTGTAATTTAAGATGTTTTTTTATGTGTTGAAGGGAACACAGAGGACTTAAATATGAACGAACCTGGTATAACACTAGCTTTGTACACTTCACTAATATTTTGGAGTTTTTATGTGTAGTTTGAACCATAGCATTTATAGTAATAAAAAAAACTACTACTTTGACGTTGTGTTCTAGACAAACATTATTTTAAATTTGATAGAGTTATCGTTGTTTTTAATAGTTTTTTGTTTGTTTGTTGTTTACAATAACTAAAGTAAATTTATACACATTAACTGATTCGGTCTTACAGCTAGCTCTAAATATTTTAAATTCCTAAAATCTAACAACTGAAGCCTAATACATTCATATTTCATAATTAAGTTTTCCAAAATATCCTGTTATTTAAATCCAAACTGAAGGTCTCTCTCAAACATAGCAGTACCAATACTAAATTTCTAACAACATTGTAATTGAAACAGTTGTAATTCACAGAACGTTTAAAGTTTCAATTTTTTCAGGCATTAATATGTCAAAGTATACAAATGACTCGTGATTTCACTTCATTATTAATCCGATTACATAATTTAAACTTCGAAGCATAAATAAATAATACCAAAACAGTATCGTAATTAATGGAACAATAACCCTAGATACTAGCTTATTCACTAACTTGTGCAAACACTCTCAAACTATTTTCACGGACTGTCAAATAGTGTCTTGTCCGGTCCCTTAAGTACTTCGAATTCTGATTGGCCCTGACTCTCTCTGAATGCAAACTCGCTTCAATCTTTAATCACTAAGACTCTGACTCATTCACTAAAAGTAATTCAGTTATTAAATTTAGTTCCTGTTACTCGAATGTTTTGTAACATCCTCTATAAAGTTCTGGTTTCCAAGATATAAATAACGCATTTTAATGTCAATAGTATTTTTTTTCATATTGTTGCGTCAGCGAGTCACATGACTACAGTGACGCCACGTTTCTAGAACTATCCCGTATCTTGGCGAATGCTCTAGTATTTGCTAGATATAGGGTAGTTTGGTATATATAAGAGGGGACAACGTGACGCGAGAAAGTAACGTAATGTGTGTGTAGACAGTGAGTAATTGATCTGCAGTCAGAAGTATTATTGAGCACGTTCGTTGTTATAGCGTTTGTTTAGCGCGATTGTTGAAGTCGAGTGTATCGTAAAGTTGTATTCGGAAAGAATAAACCAGTTTTATTAAGTAAAGACTTGTGTCGTGAAAGTTTCGTCGGAACGAAGTTACGGAAAATTAATTAACAAACGGAGACGTAACAATACCTATAAATGAGGCTTGCTGCAAAGACCGTGGTGAGCGTGTGTATTTAATCAAAATAAATAAATCATATATACTCAACCTTCCACCAGGGCACGACAAAAAGAAACAGCTTATATCAGCAAATCAATATATCTTTCCGGTATCCTTTGAATGTATGCGTAAACATAAAACGTGCTGTTACGTCTCCGTTTGTTAATTAACTTTCCGTAACTTCGTTCCGACGAAATTTTAACGACACAAGTCTTT